GGTTTTAATATACCAGGTAAATAGGTTGTGCCATCAAATGCTCTAGACATCTTGGCTGATGAATCCATAAGTTTGATGTCTTCTTTAGTAAATGTWGGATTCAAGACATACTGTTGACAAATAATCAAAAATTCTCTTATATTTTAAATTCAAATGACCTAATCTGTAGAAAACTGTGACTCAGGTCTATTTTTCTCCATTATTGCAGAGCTTTTATTTATTTTTGAAGTAAAGTTGGCTGTTTTGAAAAAGTAACCAAGGTCAAAACAGACGCCAGTCAAGCTGGTTGCCTATTTCTTATGACATCCTCGATATTCMAGCAGTTATTTCCATATTGTACCCAGGGTTCACACTATGTACATTTTCACTTAGAAATTAAGTACTTTTCAAGCACAAGAAAAAGATTTTTAAGGACTATTTCTTCACGTATCTGTCAGAACTCTCACTTAATTACAAGTTGTTTTTTAAATGACCTTCTTCCCTTCATTTGAGAACAGGAGGGGAAAGGGAATGAATTGCAAATGCATTTTGTAATACCTTAATATCCTCCAGTGAAGAATCAATAACTTCATAGTTATCAGGCAAGCAATAAAACTAAAGAGAAAAAGACACATATAGCACTATAATTTCCATTTGTATAATATAACACTTTGTCTAGCAAATGACACAGGGAACRCAACACTAGTTTTACTTTATATAGCTCCTCATCCCAGGACCATCTTTCACAGTTGTATTACCTTTAGGGTATGTAGATTTAGAAAAACATGATGGTCTACAGACACACTGTGTGTGTAAGCATGAGAGTGACGGCCACGGCCTGAAATACAAGCATGTATATTTAGTTTAAATTTGTACAACACAGGAAACCAAGAAGCAAAGCAATATATGAATTACCTTGAAAGTACTTGCCRCAAACTAGACAAGCATATACATTGACATGTGACAGCGATATCGAACACAGTTTCTCAAAATCAAAATCAAGAACATGCCTAAAACAAACAAAAGTGTTTGAATTATAAAATCGATTTTTGCTGCAATTTTTGATCCCCACAAAATAGTGAAGGGGATGGGAGAATGTAAACCATGGAATGGTTCRTTATTTGATTAAACTTACCTATCTATTGTATCTAGATAAGGGCAATGCCTACTTTGGTAATTTCTTTCCTCTACAAATAATCCAAACAAATCTCATTTAAACCCTTTTGAATGTCTGACAGTGAGCACATGCAGTCGTCGAGTGTGTTCAATTTTTCGAGCAGTTCAAAACTACATTATTATAAGGAGCTTTTGCAAAATCCAAGTTCAAAATAACATCATCAGAAAGATAGATYACCTATCTTTCTTCTTTTTTCTTCCTCTTCTTCTCCATCGCTGTAATTTTCCACTAAAGGTCGTTTCAACGTTTTAATTTCATCTTCTATGTCCGCCATTTTGGAATGACTGGTATCCAGTAAACTCGGAAAATATTTCCACAGGGAACCCAAAGAGGTTTATGACAAATGTCCCTAACAACTTTCAGCCCATTACAAGAAACCCAGAGTCAAAGAGAATCATGCGCGTTTCATTGTAATTCATGTTTATCCCCGGCACCCTCTAAATTTGTCTTAATGAAAAAAGTTACGGAAATATTTACGAGCTTCAAGAGTTCCAAGATATTTTAATTTCAAGCTTTACAAGCCCAACCTTAACATTAATTAATAATCCCGTATCGAACATTAATTTTTGTATAATATGTTAAATACATGTAAAACTAGAGAATTCATGCACTGTTTTGAAATKCAATGCAAAATTCCTCACCAAAATTCACCTTTGAGTAATGAAAAGATAGATTATAGTAACCAAATAGGCAAATGTGCAGCAAGGCCATTTTGTGCAGCAAAGAATAATGGTATCGTAGTCCTCACACTACCCTGCGAGCAGAGTGTATTTCGATCCTTACCTCAATAAAAATCGCGAATTTTTATTGAGGTAAGGAAATACACTCTGCTCGCAGGGTATCCTCATACTTATTATAATTAAACCTTAAAATATTCCTTTAAAAGCTTTTTTGTGCTTTCTTTGTAGAAACCAAAAAAAAACTATTTTGGATAATTGGAAGTTTCAGCAGATATGAAAAAGTACAAAAGGACTACAACTACCATCATGCTTTGCTGCACAAAATAGCGTCGCTGCACATTACCTATTGAGCACAATATTTGCTTTAGATTAAATATAGGTAATAAAATAATGTACATAAAAATATAACGTACATATAACTGTGCAATACATATATTAA